CCAGAAGCCGCAGCCCCCTATTTCACTCAACTTACCCATTTAAGTACATTTAGGAAATATGTTTTTACACTTTTCAGAACTGCCTTCCACCCCCTCTGGCAGACTTAGAGCTCCCCCTAGCAGGTCATGGCCAGCACACTCTGCACTGCAATGTAACATGGCCCAATTCAGCACACAGAGAAAATGAAATAAAAACAAGAATATTTGATTAAACGAACTGTAACAGAAATAAATAAAATAAGCATTTAAATAGCAAGCTTAAACATATTTTCAGACCTATTTAGTTTGACTTAAAATATGCCTTGTTTAATTCTAAATAAAACCCTGCTTATTTCATACATAAATAAGCAAACCTTTTACTAAAATAAAGAAATTAATTAAATTAATAAATCAAAGAAACAAATGGAAAAAGACATTGAATCTGGATTTCTGCAGCTGCACAACTCTCTTGTATTAACGCCTGTGTCTGTATCCAAATTCACAGTGCTATCTTGACATTTTTTTTTACTATAATCAAATATGTTATTGTTTATATCTAAACAAGTATGATTGTGTTTTAATACAAGCTATTATCAGAAATTAAAATCTTTCAAATGTGATGGCTTGAAGTCATGGATAAAAATGCATGTCCTAAACGCATTCAAAGCAAAGTTCCAATAAAAACAGTTTCCTGTGCTGGCAGGTCTAATGTGAAACATGCATCTTAAGCAAGAGCTGATCATTTATGTTACAACTTCATAATTCCGCAGCTCACCAGAGAAAAATTATCTTCGCCTTCCACCCCCTCTGGCAGACTTAGAGCTCCCCCTAGCAGGTCATGGCCAGCACACTCTGCACTGCAATGTAACATGGCCCAATTCAGCACACAGAGAAAATGAAATAAAAACAAGAATATTTGATTAAACGAACTGTAACAGAAATAAATAAAATAAGCATTTAAATAGCAAGCTTAAACATATTTTCAGACCTATTTAGTTTGACTTAAAATATGCCTTGTTTAATTCTAAATAAAACCCTGCTTATTTCATACATAAATAAGCAAACCTTTTACTAAAATAAAGAAATTAATTAAATTAATAAATCAAAGAAACAAATGGAAAAAGACATTGAATCTGGATTTCTGCAGCTGCACAACTCTCTTGTATTAACGCCTGTGTCTGTATCCAAATTCACAGTGCTATCTTGACATTTTTTTTTACTATAATCAAATATGTTATTGTTTATATCTAAACAAGTATGATTGTGTTTTAATACAAGCTATTATCAGAAATTAAAATCTTTCAAATGTGATGGCTTGAAGTCATGGATAAAAATGCATGTCCTAAACGCATTCAAAGCAAAGTTCCAATAAAAACAGTTTCCTGTGCTGGCAGGTCTAATGTGAAACATGCATCTTAAGCAAGAGCTGATCATTTATGTCTCACCAGAGAAAAATTATCTTCTCGCTGTCATCTGATTTCCTTCATTTGAAGACGACATCTGTTACCTCACTTTTAGGTTTATTTGAAAGCGCTACATTATAAAACACTCTGTGCAATGACATGAAAAACTGAACAGGTGTCAAAAATCTCATTTAAATTCAGACAATTCAGTGACGACACGTTCGCACGAACACTCAGATGAATGCAAACATTTAGAAATTTGTCTGCAAATTATAGTAACTTGTAGAATGTTAAGGGTTTGGAAGGCATGTGATATTCATAATTCTTACTCAAAATAAAAAAATATTGTTAAATACACTTCAGTCAATAGCATATAATGAAAATCCCAACATATGTAAAGAAAATGCAAAAATGCGCTAAACACTGTAACAGGTTGCATTTCACACAGAACTAATAAACCACTGGGTATATGCGTTTGAGTGGCATAATGTAGCACACAACCACAGCCTGCCAAACCATTAAAACTACTGATGTACAGCACTGCAAAGTTTGCAGATCGCTCACGCAGACAACACATAAATGAACATGTGGACGTAAACTACACACACACACACTTGAACACTTGAGCAGACAAAAATTGCTCACTAACTTGAGGCTAATCCAGCTAAGACACCGTGGTTAACAAAAGCTAAATACCACAGAAGACATGCTGACGAGCAGACATGCACACACACACCCTTGTTTACAGCTCCAAATATATCGTCAAAAATTAAACTTTGAGGTTGGGACCACACTACTTTTGACCTTGACATTTAAAGCAATATTTGACAATTGAACTATTACAGAGAAAAACCAGATATATCAACTGTCATCCACATTTACCTGCTCCACAAGAAGCTATTTCACATAATCAGCCACATATCAAACGGAATAAGAGTGAACAAGGGTCTTTGAGCTTGCACATTTGCACACACACACACACACCAGCATGCATGAAGAGTTCATACGCTGCCTACTACAAACAAAAACACTCGTTACATCAAAATCATAGCCACAATCAGCATGTGATGAGAATTCTAAACTACGAGGAAAGAATGCACCCCTAAGCTCAGATGATTATCTGCTAGCACCTGGCCTACATGCCCTCTGCATAAAACCCACTAAGGCATGATTCGTTTGAGGGACCTCTCTGAAGCTTATATATTCATTCACCGGTGATGCAATGAACACCTTTCAATCTCTAGTTTCTAAGAAGGAGAAAGTCGACCACCTTCCTTTCTCTCTCTCTCTCACTGTGTGCATGTAAAAAAAAATACAAAAGCTTGATGTCTAAACTGGCGTCTGCTTTACTCTGTGAACGTCTGCATTTGTGTCCGTTTGTGAGTGTGAGTGTGAGTGTGAGTGTGTGTGTGTGAGCCCAAATTAATAACCACAGCCATTGTACATGCAATGACTGATGGGACATGTGATAACTATAGCGACAGAAATTCAAAAAGGGCCATTTTCTACAAAACCAGAATGATTGTTTTACACACATATTGAACGGATGGCATTTATGCAATAAACACAATCGGTTTGCATACATGCACATGCTAGTGCACAATTAAATTGGAAAAATATATACATAAATTACTGACATAATCGCATATGCAAACGACATACAAAAAGAGCCATGCATGCCCTATGGCAAAGCTAGCTACATGCAATGCAAGCCAGATAATGTGCATTAAAAGCATGTCTATTCTCATTCGGTCATGAGTCATAGTCATAATTGTAAGTCGTAAGTCATATTTGTAAACTCAACAGTAAATTCAAACACACAATGCACAGGCATGCTAAATGTTTACAGTGCAACCACGTACCTATGTGTTTGTACAGTAACAGATTAAGCCATTAACGAAAGAATGGTGTATGTTAGTGTATATATGCAAAGCATACATGGCCCTAACCCTGCAACACAAAACAGATTTAGGTGGTATTACATCACTAGGCTCTGCTATAAATTATCTAGTTTCTGTAGACTACACTTAAGCATATGAAACTAAATTCTGGACAGATTTCATTGTCTTTTGAGTGATTTTTTTTTTTTTTAACTGCAACAGATGCATTCTAGGAAAAATATACTGTTTTAAAATAAATTGCAGGACTTATTTTCTGCAAATTATGTAAAAGTCTCTCAAAGAAAAATCTAAAAGGGAAATTATGTCAAGCAATAGAATATAACTGTTGGCTTTGAATATGCTTGTCAGGAAAAGTCTCTCAATTGAGTGCCTGCCTCACATTACCTACGCTTTACAGTCACAACCTCTGGGGCAAGGCTAAGTGTGAGAAACATTATTAGACCTATGTCTGCTTTGTTTCTTTGTACACTCATACTGATTTAGCAAAGTTCAATTTTCTCAACAAAAATAAAAGCATAGTATAAAAGGATGAGTTGTGTAAGAAGCCAATTAAAAGTTTTCTTATTTAGTTTTACAGTAAAGTAAAACTAAGCATGCTTGACATTTGTATCACCTAATTTGACATTAAGATGTCAATTGAATTTAATTTAAATAATTGTCCTTGCTCTGACACCTCTTTTCATTCAAGTGCACATCTAAGACTTAAAAGCACAAATGTTGCATAATTACAATCAATTTAACAAAATCTTTCAAAAAAAAAAAATAAATAAACAACCTCACTGCATCCGTGCAGCATGCGCTGCAAAAGTAAAACCTTAAACCGTTCCTGTGCTTGGTGGTTACAGGTAGCTGCTCACCTTGAGAACTACTACAAATATCTTGTAAAAATGTGCAAAAGACTTTGGTTTAAAACGAAACATGATCCATAAAGTTACATTGCATCAGGATTTGAAAAGACAGGCCTACAACTCAAGCATGCCACTTTTTGAAAGTAACAAAATAATCATAATGATAAATTAATTAATTAATAAAAGAACTAAAAAAATATGTATTGCAAAAAAAATGTATAACCAAATACAGCCTAATACAGGCCCAAATCGTATATAGATGGATTAAAGTAGAGAAAATTAAAAAAAAAAACACAATATCTCACTGTAAATTAGCATAATTTTTTAAATTATGCTTTTAAATATTAAAATAACATACACCTCACTTACCCTACACTTTACTTTAACAAAACTAAACTTAACTTGCTTGATTAATCACTGCAATTTAAAGTTTTTAATCTGATCTCCTGGCCTGCTAACAATGCTTACATGAATCAAACTATCTGATATTAAAATTAAACAACAGAATTTAAACAATACAGACTAAATCAAAGATTTGATTTTTAAGCAACTCCAGAACATTTTTTGTATTTAATTATTTGAATTCAGTTTCAACCAAATCACTTTTTAATTCTTTGAAGTCACACTAAGCTTATAAACATAACCGTTTGCTCAAAGCTGAAGCTATAAATATCTTAATTAAGTGAATTTAACTGTTCTATTTTATTGCATTTGTAAAGATAAAGATTTATCGCATTTTAATTAAATCAGTTCATCACGAACACCACATAAACTCTCACACACAGATCGTTACTCCTATCACTGAAAAATGGCGATACTTGACGAACAACCTCTTAAATACAAATAAGTAAAAGAAAAGATGGACTTACGTGTTATAATTTCTCTCTGCCTCCTCGGTAACTAACTTTTCCTGGGACTTCCAAAGAACTGCCACAGCTCCGGGCCGTGGATACAGACAGGGGTCCCGTGAATGTGAGAGAAGCGAGTGTCTCTGCGCTCCGGCTCTCCAGATGACCAGAGACGCGCAGACGCTCAGTACCTCAGCGACACACACATGCACTTCAGCTGTGTGCCGAGCGCGATCTGTCCTAGGGCGAAAATATCCTTAACGAGTGACAGTTGTGAAGAAACCACTGGAAATGTCTCAGAACGTGATGCCCGGTGCGTTTGGATAGGCTGGACCCTCTGGTGGCTCTCTTTTCGTTCGGTCTGCGCCTTGTGGATTTGTCAAAGGCAATTAGATTTTTTTTTCTCTGAGTCAAAATAATTCTAAAAAATAAAAGTGGGCATTACTTATTAGACTGGATGAAACGAATCCAATTTCTCCTTGAGTTGGCACTTGCGTGTGCCAAGCACTGGACAGTTCTTCTTCTCTCCAGGGCACTTTGTGCTTGCGATGCCCGGTTACTTTGCACTCTCTCCAACTCTTTGCACTTGCTCCCCTATTCGGCTTTGCGCACTTGAGACCAGGGACATGGACTTGCCACCTCCTTTCCAAATGAATGAAGCTTTTTTTCCTCCCTTTTCTGCCTCTGTGAAGATGGCGGAGTCCTGCGTCTCCGGGAGCTCTCTGTGTCTCTGTGGCGAGGGCTGCCTCCGTACAATGGGATAAAATTCAAGTTCAAGTGCGGACGTGACGTTAAGTCTACAGTGGGAAAGAAAATTGGAGACTGCAAGAGCACTGGGGGCGACTAGTGGTGGCTTTTCACAAATATCGGATCACCAGAACAGTGGTGGAGAGCGTGGACATCGCGAGCCGCTGTCTTACACACACACATACACGCGCACAAACACACAGCGCCAGATAGACCGGTACGCTGCTTGCTTGTCTGTATCCGCTTTAATGCAAATGAAACAATGCAATATTGCATGCACTACAGCGTTTGCAATGGATTTAAAGGGGAAAAGGTTGCAAATTGCTTTGATAAAAAATATATATTTATAAAAGATTTTAGCGTGCATATGTGAATATGCATTAAAATTACACATTTTATGCATGCAAATAAATAAATGAATATATGGAAACTGTGATATTGATAGTCACGCATTAACAGTAAATCTTCAAATCAGAAAATCTCAAATCATTTGATGGAAAAGATTAAAGCACGGACGGATGCACAAAGAATATACTTCAGTGAGACACAAGTGTGCTGTTTACCTCATATGCAATAAATTACATGAGACAAGACAGGCGTTGATATACTCACACATCACATTTCTTCTTTATGTGTTTTATGTCTTACAGAAATGACATTATTAAATTAAACCCACATTTGGAGAGGAAAAGAACATCAGAAGGAAGAAAAATATTGTGAAGTGTTCAATGTACATTTCTTAATCCTTTTTGCTAGACAATCTAATGTATATCTTTATCATTTAAATCCACATATTGCAGGCATTTAATAATTTTATCAAATCTATTTGAACAAATGAATGAACACTACATTAAAACTGTTGCATGAGTGGAAATGCAAGACTGAATACTGGAGGAAATGAAAATAAGGAGGTGTGTTGTGCAAATACTTGCATGATTTGAGTTTACTGGGTGAAATGCAAGCGATGTTCCTTTGCTTCTGTTTTACACAGAGTACATCAGTAATATGAAAGCTGGTCATGTGGTTCAGATTTTTTGGATAATTTCTTATTGAGATTTGGAAACTGCAATGCAAAAAAACAACAACAACAATACAACTATATTATGGGATGTAAGTAAACAAACAGGTTAAAAATAAAGGTTCTTATGTGGTTTTTAGGTTGAGCAAAAATGTATTGTCTTTTGAAAAATAATTTTTGCCTGTATAGGATCTTTGAACAGTTTCTTCAGATCAGTGTATGCATTTCTAGGTTCTAATACTATGTTCTAAAAAACTAAAGTAATACAAATTCTTTACCAGACTGTAAATCTTTTTTTTTGTTTCTAATTACAACGTTTATTTTTTTAAAATACAGGTTTCACTGAAGTCAAACTGACTAAATATGGTGACAAATGTTCCACTGTGACATCACTATTAATTCTAAATAAATTCCCATGATTCATGCTTTCTGGGTAATCTATTTGCAAATGCAAAGAGGGCAGGAAATAACCAGTAATCACCCTTGTTTTGGAGTTTTAGGGTTAAACTGAGGTTCTAAGATGTATCACTGTAAATAACCAGCTAGTATGTTCAAATTGACATTTAAATTAAAAAAAATAGAGGCCGCACTTTAGTGTTAATACATGTGTTAACACTGAGAAAAGCTAATGAACTACATGCACTAAATATGTAAGTATTTTCTTGAACTGTGTGTAATTAGCCATTCTTTTTATTATTGCCATAGCACTTAATTATAGTAACATGTAATATGTGAACAGGTTTAGTGTAAATTGAAACCAATTAGATAGACATGCTGTGGAAAAGTAAGCTAATGGTATGTGATTGAGGGGAACAGAACAAGTTATTACCATTTTAATTCATGGAGACTGTATCTACCTTCAACTGTTGATTCACTTCTGAGTAATAGAGTCATGATGCTACCAAAGGTGCACAGAGGGTCCGGCTTGTGCCAGTTCAGAGGCAGATAGATTTCAGGCAGAGAGCCCAGATGAGAGCGTATCTGCGTCGATCCATCTGCTCATGATCCATCATAAGATGTGATGCTGAGTGGCACAGCCTCGCCAACAATGCCATATATCCTGCCGCTGTCTCTGGTGCATCCTTCTCCCCTGAACTCTGTTAAACAACACCCCAACTTTCATGTAAATTCTTTAAGTAGATAGATAGATAGATAGATAGATAGATAGACAGACAGACAGACTCTGTTTCCTTAAATTATGGCAAGAATAGCTGACTGATTTACATTAGAAATTCCAGGTGTTGCCAAAAAATGACATTTTATGATTTACACTCATCTTCCTGGAAATCAAGATTGGAGGAGGTTGTTGCTGCTCTGTTACTGCTGGATTATTCTCCCTATAAAAAGCGTGAAATGTTCCCTGAAAAGCAGTGGTTGCCCACAGCTGAGAATCCTATTTTATTGCATGAATTCATTGGACACATCCTGTACTTTGCTCAGTCCTCTGTTTTTTATTGAATATCTCCCCTTATGCCAATAAATCTGTCTCTATAACAATAGTTTTGGCTCAAATTGCAGTCAAAAAACTCTGAGCGCAAACTTTCTCCTCCATGTATTACTAGTGGGGTGTGTATAAATAGTGTCTTTAGTTCTTGTTAACCTGAGGAAATGTGTGCACATATACACAGATTCAAAGCATTTAAAATGATTATTTAAAAATGATACAAAACACCTGGAGTCAATACATACAGTATTATTACTGTTGATTGCACTTTTACACACTTTTATTTTTAATAAAGTTACCTGTATTTTGGACCTGTATTTTTTTCTCAGGTGCTGGGTAATTTGCACACACAGCGATCTTCATTTATGGCAAGATCCATAAAAGACAGCTTCTATATATGAGAGGAGACAACACCAAAATTACATTAAACACATTTTGTGCATCTCAGTTAAATTTTAAGCATCTCAATTAAATGTGGTTCTTCAAAAAAAACAAAAACATTAAAACACAGACATTGTTTTTATCAGGACAAACCGCCTTGCTCTGAGGTGAATCACAAATCAAATATTGGAAGCACAAACTCTGAATTTAGTTTACTTCAGAATTTAGATACAATAATCTGTATTTTAATATTGCAATGCTCCTGCAATAATTACCTTAATATGTGATGTAAAGTCCAGGACATTGAATTTAAAAAATATATATATATATTTTTTTTTTCAGTTATAATGACTAAGTGTGTCCACCACACTTGACAAGATAAATTTATATCTTGCAATCTATCTCTCCTATGTGTTGAACTTGCAATGCAACAGTACCCTCTATTGGCCAGTTACAGCCACAAAGATTCACAAGCATGGATCTCAAACACTCATTTCCTTCAATTTCACACTTCATCTTTTTTTTTTTTTATTATTATTTTTATTTATTTGTTTGTTTGTTTATTAAATAATGCATGCCAAAATAAAACAACTAACCTAATTTAGAATCACTAACCATATTGTTTCGGAATTAGTTATCTACATATGTTTTTCTGAAAATGCAAAATGATCCCATTCGTACAAAGTTCTTATTTGCCCTTCATCTACATTGCATTTAGATTATAAGGATATAAAATAAATAAATAAAATGGTTGGCTGAGTGGTCTAACAAATTTCTTTAATTATAAATTAGTTTAATTATTTAAAAATATGTTGTCTCTTCAGCATTTTATATTGAAGACTTGAACAGAACATTTTATATGCTGAATGATGCAATGTATTCACAGTTGGATATATTAAGAGATGTTTAATAAGCATTTAGCAACCTTCTTGGTTTTACTTGACTTCTTGTCATCTCTCAAACATTACTTTGGAAAACAACATGCAAGCCAATAACAAATGTCTTGGATGTGTGTATGCTTGCAGATAGCAATGTAACAATTTGAAAAGTTATTAAAACTAAAATGTGTTGATGAAAACTGACAGATTTACAAATGTGCATGTTGTCATGCATTATATTAAACATGATTATACATTGTTAAAAAAAAATAAAAATAGCCTGATGTGCACTATCAGCGTACAAATAACAAAGAATTGAAAAGTTAATTTGTGGAAATAGCTTTTAGGACAGAAAAAAATCGAGAGGGACAACATCTTCATTTTAAATCAGTTCTTGAAATTCATGAACAAAATCTAAATATTCCCTGAAAATCACAATGAATATGAACACACACCCAGCTTATCCTCATCATAGAGCTCATTAGGACTAGTCTATGAAGATTCATCTTATTTCATCTGTCCCCAACTCTCTCTCTCACCCCTGCTATGTCACCCGCAAGAGAGAAACATTAA